TATATATATATATATATATATATATATATATATATATATAACTGAAAATTGATATGTGCATGTGTATTCACTACTCTTTGCTTTAGACTCCCAACCATTACTCATAGAAGCCAAAGAATTTGGAAAATAAGATCCACTTGTTGCCAGTCTAAGTATCAAATGCTATATACTTGAACTGAAAGCCTCCAGAATCAACACCAGTTCATCTCTTCTAGGCTATCACCAAACAAGAGACAGCATGAACCCAAGGAACTCTCCACACAGGTCAGAGACAACACTACAGAAAAGTCCAGCTCTGTGAAGAGAATGTCATCCATGACTCAGGAAGGTAATGAAAGAAGAGCAAGAGGCCAAATAAACCCTGATAGAGCCACAGCTCTTTTGCAGAGAGCAAAAGAGTATCTGGGAGAACCTGTAGTACATCTGTAAGCTTCACATAGAAAGGCTTCATAGACAAGTGGCCTTAAAAGTTTCATTGTTTTAAAAATGACAACGGCAGACCATTTGGAAATTTTTCACCAAATGTGTGGCATTCGTTGCTTTGTTCAGAGAAGATCAAGGACAGCACCATGTCTGGGTCAAACCTAACACCTCTTATCATATTAAGAACATCATCCCTACAGTGAAACATGGAGGTGGCAGCATCATGCTATGGGGATGATTTTCATGAGAACAGACTTGGAAACTGTTCAAAAGATGCATGGAGCAAAAAATAGAGAAACTCTTAAGGGAAATCTTAAGTCAGCTCCAAATATTATGTTGGAGACAGTTTGGTTATGAAGAAAGGAGAAAAATTCTAATGAGTAGATGTGCCAATAAATAAAGAAATTAATGGACAATAAGCCTGTGAAATGCTGAGATCAATTTTGTCCACAGAAGACAAAGGTGCATCTCCCTATGGTGCAGATTCTCATGAAAACAGCTCTGTGGTGTGGAGAAGGACCAACTACTGTGTACTTTGAGCTTGTACTTCAACCACGAGACAGACAGAGGAAGGAACCAAATATGTTGAGCACCAGAAAAAAAAGGGAATCAACACTCAACATTCAAAAAGTTGAAGATTAGAGAAATAGTTTCCAGAACGGGATAAATAAATAAAATCCCAAAAACCTGGGAACTAAAAGCTGGCTACAAAAACTGTTTACAAGCTAGAATAAGTGCCAAGGGAGAGTAAATGCTTACCATCCCTTTATGCTTTAACAGTAGAAAGGGTGGTCAGTAGATGTTTCATAAACTCCACAGGTTCTTTTACTTTTCTAGTCATTCACCATGACAAAAACTTTGACCAGGAGTGCCAACAGTTTTGCATGGCAATGTATAAAAATAATCATTTTGTGCTTCTGAGTGCAGGCTGGCATGCAGAACCATTTCTCTGAGTAGAGCTGCTTCCAGTGAGCCTTGAGACTCCTTGAAGGTCTCTGAAACTGTCCAAGTTTCCAGCAATAACAAAAAACAGCTGTGATGTGGGACTGAAGCAAAATCTGTTTCTGCAATTCCAAACAATAGAGCTAATAAACAACCATTTATACATCCAAGCAAGGTTTACTTTTAATCTAGTTACTCTAATTACCTGAGACTGTCTTTGACTAGAATAGAAGCCAGTAATGCTTCAAAATTATGAGTATATGAGACTTCAGTCTCAGTCAAGAGTGAATTATGGCACAAATACAAATCAGAAAATGGAAAGTGGCTTAAGACATAAAACAGCAGAGCATGAGAAGCACAGATCAGCATCTGCAACAGAATATGACAAAACCTCTAAAGTTTTAATCTTGGTTTGTCTTTACCAGGTTTTTCTCCTGGCCTCACCACAGGTTTGGGAAGAGAATTACCCCTGTGATGCGCTCCATAGGCTGTTGGAGGGAGAAAAAGATCTGTTATGATCAATACATCAAGAAAAAATGAAGTCAAATAAAAAAATAATCTTTCTGATATTATTTTCTTAAAATAGTGATAAACAGCTAAGTTGGTGTACAGTATGTTGTTAGTGTTATGACCCCTGACCTATTACCTGGGGGCTCTTGTGCATGTGCGCGTGAGAGTATGCACATGCACGTGACCATATTGCAGCCTTCTTTTGTGTTGATTGAGAGCTGGAGGCAGCTGGCCACCATCTTTAATGGTCCACAAAATACTCAGTTCTTCCTGAAAGCAGTCTCCTTACTTTCTACCTTAGACTGATTTATGTTGTTTTTTTTTGTTGGTCTGGATTTGCTCATATAAAACATTTTATTTGATTCCTGAATCCCACATGCCTCCCTTTTTGTTTAATGATTTCGGAGTCAGGCTATATCAAATTGGGGGCTTGTCCGGGATTTGAAACCAAAACCGTTTGTAAAAACATTAAACTGAATTCATATGTGTTTTGGGGTATGACTTCAAAACAACAATTTTATGTCTTTTTGGACTTTCTGGTCTCCTTCCTGCACCTCTTTAGGAAATGTTTGTGGATGTGCTGCAAAGTGAAAAAATTAAAATAGAGGCAGAATTAGACTATGGTGGCTTTACTCCTGTCCATGCTGAGCTTGATGTAAAATGTGTTGTGCCCCAACCAGCCACTGTAACCAGACTTCCTCCTTGAATGAAATTAAGTAGTTACTGTATCTGCACATCAGTTCAAGTAGCAGGGCTCCAGAAACTTCAAATTAAGATGAAAGAAGAGTCTGCATACTTGTTGCAGCAGGAATAGTCTATTAATTAACAATAATTTCATCAAAGTTGGAAGAAAAGGTACATGCCCATTCACCCTAAGAGGAGCCCTGAAAATGTAACTTGCACAAAAGATTAAATTCTCTTCATAGGCTGAAACATTTTCTATCTTTCCCACAAATATCTACTCATTATTATTCTATTGATATAACAGAATTCATTTTATTTATCTGCTACAGTATTCCTACAAATTAGAAGGTGTCACACTAAATGCATTCTTGCGTTTATTCATTGCTCTTGTGAGTACGTATTGATAATTTTATATGTTCACATTTAGATTAACATATTGCTTTGATTTGATTAACATGGTACTTGTTATCACACATCATTATTATGGTTATCCTCCCCATTGTCAAAACTTGGACATGACAAAGATTCAAGTTGGACTGAATTATTGGTAGTTAATAAATCATTCATGTCATTAGGAATAAGGGTATGGGCTTTCCTTCATTTAGAACAACCCCCCCTTCCTTGGCCAACAAAATGGACTAAAAATAAGTGTGATCCCTAAGATTTTTCTGTATTTTATTTTAGCTTTACTTGATGTTTTAAGATTTCTTCTACATTTTTGCTTTTATTGTTGTTTTACCCTTTCATTTAGCTGAACTGTAAAGCACTGTGATCAACTTTGTTTTTATTTGCTATATAGACATTGACTTAAGATGCTTAAGCAGCTTAAAGTGACAATGTGAAATGCATGTTCAGTGTTTTGACTCCATGTGTCCTGTAAAAATATATGAAGCAAAGGAGAACAAGAAAAGAAGAAAGAAATGCAAAACCATTTGTGTGGCTAAACAAATAGCAAAGAGTTTGTCTTCTGTAGCTAAAAAGAAAGCAGCCTTGGAAACAGAAACAAGCATTACCCTCAGGTGAGTTGGAGCTGTGAGAGGTGGTCCTGGAAGGAGAGAAAGGTCTTGAAGGAGCCTGAGTGTGAGGTACTGTGACATTTCTTCCTGCTTTAGGAACTGATGAGCTAATGGGAGAACGAGGAACTTCGTCAATAGTCGATTTGATGACTCCAGGGCCTATGGACCAGAAAGGCAATTCATAGTTAGAGATTTATGTCTTAGCCTGGGGAAATCTCCTAGAAGGAACAAATGATAACAGACTTCAGTGAAACACAAAAAACATGAACAATGAATGAAATGACAAAGCACAAAGAGGAGCACAAGACGAGATCCAAAGCTAGACAGAGTGCCGCGGTTATGAGTGGCCAGGGGTGAGACACGTCTGCTGTATGTAAACATGGAGACAGGGACAACAATGGGATGTTTGGTGCCAAGATGAAGATGGAGATGTAAAAACTCTTTACATCTTATGACTCGACAAAAAAAAAAAAAAATACAGATATGGTGGTGTGATGATACTTGTCATGGTTTTTACCATGTTTGTAACTACCAGCCTTCTCTGTGGCCAAGGCAGGTCTTGGTAAAGGTTTGCCCTCCTCTGGTAGATTAGGGGCTGCATGAAGAAAAAGATACTATTTATCTTGGAAGAAAAAAATGTATAAACATTTAAAGGGGGCATATTATTGGCTTATTAGGAAAAAATCCAACAGAGTTGTTGCTATTTGAATAAGAGAATCTACACCACTGCACTAAGTGAGGAGGTACAGGATATATGTAAATGATAAATGGTAAGTAGACTGTACTTATATAGCACTTTTATATTTTATTAAGATACACAAAGTGCTTTACACCACAATCTGGGTCCTCATTTACCCATTCGTACAGCACTCTACTAGATCTCTACAAAGCTAATCTGAATCTGTAGAGACCAATCAGTGCTTTATCACATTCATACAACGATGGGACACACATCGGAGGCAATGAGGGGTTCAATGTCTTGCCCAGGGACACTTCAGCATGTGACTGCTGGTGGAATCAAACCCCCATCTCTTGCATTGGAGGACGACTGCTCTAACCATTCAGCCACAGCCACCCCCCAGTAATGATTTGTCATCAATATAATGTTCAGAACCAAATTTTCCAAAAAAGTAATTTAACTTGTTGAGATTATAAAAAAATATATAAAACAATAATAATAACAACACAATAGCCCCCTTTAAAATGTAATTTTATAATTAATTTAGGAGTGATTATGTCAGAAGAAAGGGTTGTTACCCTTATGAACTGCCTTCATTGGGGTATCCTTGAAGTGGTCAGCCTGGGTCCTGGTCTCTGACTGAACCCTTGGCTGAGGTTTTGGATGTGGCACAGGTGCATGTTGTTCCTTAAGAGGAAATGGGATTTGGAATGGGGCCTCTGATGGAAAATGTGACTGGTGGTGTGTTTGAATGATTGTCTGATTTTGGTGGCTTTTTATTCTGGGTTTTGTAGATGTCTTGAATTGCTTTCTTGTTTTTTTCTGTGAGCTGAGTTTGTCCAGGTTCTTCGGTTTAGATTGTGTTGTGAACTTGGATTTAGAAAAAACTGTTTTTGGTCTTTCTGTCAGTTGGGTTGACTTTGTTTGTGGTATCTGTGGTTGAGGTTGTGTGTGGGTTTGTGGCCTAATTGAAGAATGGGTGTCAAGTGTTGTGGGTGTTTCTTGCTTATAGAGTGTGTTCTGCGGTGTGGGCTGAATGGTTTGACGATGTGCCATTGAGGTGGGCAAAGGATCTGGTTGAAATTGTACCTGCAGCTTGTTCTGAGTCTTTAGCTGCAGTTCTGTTGGGAAAGAGAATTTGCGGTTGGTCTTTGGTGTTGGTTGAGACTTTGGTTCATACGGAGGTACAGGTGATTGAGGATGTGGCTCTGGTTTAGGTGAGGACAGAAAGTGGGTCTGCAGTAAAGGCTGAGTTGTTTCTTGGGGTTGTGACTTTGTCTGGATTTCTGAGTGGAATGTTGTAAGTGCTTCTGGCATAGTTTCGATGTACGGATTTGCTGAAGGCTGTAGAGCCATTGGTTGTGTTGGTTTAGTTTGTGCATTAGGTTGAAACTTGGAGATTTGTTTTGAATGGCCTCCATGGTTTTCCAGTTTGTCTTGGTATACTGGCACAGATGCCACTGTGGCCGTGACAGGACAAAGCTTGGGAACTAGAGGGACCTCTGAAAAAGAAGGCAAAAGAGATCCGATGAGTCTGCTCTTCCTGGGAGATGTGAAAGAAAGAAAATATGATCATGGAGCCACAATCTTCTGTAAGGATAAATTACAAAAAACAAACAAAAAAATATATATTTTGAAGGTAATACAGAGCAGCTTGGATGCAGTAAACAGAAAAGTTGAACTTCTTTCCATCCGTCCTTGCCAAAAAGAAAAGTATTTTGTGCTATATTAAATTTTAAATATATATATATACATTTTTATGAACAAAATAAACACATGGCTTCAGTCTTCTGGGAAAAAAGCAACATAATTTTCAAATAGATTTGTCATGCACTCTAAAATAAAACCACCATCATACTGAAAAAGGTAACAATCAATAATAATGGGGGATAAGCATTTTTCATAATTTACATTGTATACTCTGTAAGATGTTTGATTATTTGTTTAATGATTGGGGAGAAAACAGAGGGAGGAAAAAATACAGTGGTTAGAATCATAACATGTAAGACATGGCTGAAATGCATTGCTTGATGGAGAAACACCCAACGTTTATCAGTGTTTCTTAAATGTTTCCTTTTGACTTAGAGGCTTGTACATCAACTTTAATTCAAGTGATCGCTAATGATAAAGTCATAAATAAATAGTATAAGTCAAGGAAAAATAAACGGGCTGAAGAGATTCACCAAAAATGTCCTGAAGACTTTGTTTTGTCTAAATGTCATGCAGCCACTTACCTCACATGCATCAGATGAATTTCATTTGGAAACTGTCCTTGCTCATGTAGCTATTTAAACAAACTCAATGATTACACACAGCTGAATTAAGAGCCATAAAGCATTTTCAAAAAGACTCAGAATATTGTTTACCGGTCGGCTGTTTGTTGACCACAGGCAATCTGGGTCCAGCAGTTGGTGGAAATTCCTGTCTAGCAGTTGTGGTAGAAGCTGAAAAATATAATGTGCATTAGTAGACCAGTTATGACTGTACTGTATACTTTGTTTAAATAACAGACAGTGAAATAAGAGACTCTCAGTGTAATAAAAAGTATGGTTTTGAGTTATTTCTCTTAATTGAACTTTGACCTTTAGGTCAGAAAAGTCTTTACCTAGAGTTGTTTGTGGGATTATCGGTATATTCTGGGAGACGGGCTGTATGGCCTGGGTCTTGTTTTGAGCAACTGGTAAAAACAAAAAAATAACTTTTAACTCGTGATGCATTCAGAGACATGAAAATACTTATGATGAGAAATTATTTTAAATCACAGCAGCAACTTTGTTACATAGAAACCACACTGCACAAATCCTTTGATACCTTTTCCAAAACTTCATAAAGTTATGATGTCATTCATACAAGCATGTTGGGATACACAAGTTGTAACGAGCTCAGTTGGGAAAATCAGAGAAGTCTTCTTATCACTGATTATTTTCCTTGAGACAGTTGTTTAAGTTGGCATTGCTTTCACAGTCAATCAAAGGTCATGTTGCTCCACACTCTATCCTTTCACTTAAATTTCCCACAAACTTCCGTTTCTATGATTCTTTTCCAAAACTAAAACTAAAGACTGTATCACTGATTGATCATGAAAACAAAGACAACGTGTCTAATGGCCTCTCTAACTTTAGCTCCCAGGCATTCAACCACTGCTGTACCTCTGATGATCTCATTCCTAATTTTGTCTATCTTTGGTACTTACAAGGAGAACCTAAACATCTTCATCTCTGCTACTTTCAGTTCTGTCTTCTATCTTTTTTTCAATGCCACCCACTCCAAAATAAACTACAAAGCTGGTCTCACCACTGTCTTGTAAACCTTTTTTTATTGTCTGACCTTTGCTGCCAACCTTTTGTCACAACTTTTCTCCATCCACTCCATCCTGCCTGGACTCTCTTCTGTTTTCCTGGACTACTGACCTTAAGTACTTGAAGTCCTGCACCTTTGTGACCTCTGCTCCTTGTAGCCTCATTGTTCCACCTGCCTCCCATTCACACACATGTACTCTTTCTTACTCTCACTTTCATACCTCTTCATTACAAGTATTAAAGGGTAACACTTTACAACAAGGTACACACAATTTAGTTAACTACTAGGGAACAAATCAGGAATAAATCAGGAACTGATGGGTAGTTAACCAGTACTGACTGGGGAACACACAGCCAAGCCTTATTAGGGGACTACTGGTTTGTTAACACAGGAACAAACCAGTAGGTAATGGTTAGGTAGTGATTAAGTAATGATTGGTTCCTCGGTAAGTACAGCCAGGCAATGATTTGGTTCCTCAGTAAGTGATCGTCAGACATAGTTAAGATGACACCAGTACAAGATTATGAAATTGATCATGTCTTTCATCAATAGGTTTACAAAAGAGAAAATCCAATAAAACCAGTAATCACTAGGAAACAGGTTTTTGACAAGCTGTGACCGCACTGGTGCAAGTTTTTTTTCAGAACCCACATGGAGAATTTCTCCTCTGTTTCTGTGATAACAAACCAGTAGTTCCCTAATAAGGCTTGGCTGTGTGTTCCCCAGTAATTACTGGTTAACTACCCATTAGCTCCTGATTAGTTCCTCTTTGGTTTCCTTGGTAACTTCCCATTAGTTCTCGATTAGTTCCTCTTCATTTACAAGGTAACTAACCAGTAGTCCCCTAATAAGACTTGGCTGTGTATTCCCCAGTAAGTACTGGTTAACTACACATTAGCTCCTGATTCATTCCTGATTCGTTCCTTAGGCGTTCCCTAGTAGTTAAGCAAATATTGTGTACCTTATTGTAAAGTGTTACCTATTAAAGAAATGGTGTGACAAAAATAAATTATCACAAAATTATGATAAAACAAAATTTGTAATATTTAGTAAAAAGAAAATTAAAAAAAATGTCAAACTCATAATAAACAATATTGAAATAGAGCGAGTGTATGAATTCAGAGTTTTGGGGGAGATACTTGATTACAAATTGCATTGGAAAGCTCATATTGATAATGTAAATGCCAAAATATCAAAAACTTTTGCAATACTGAATAAAATAAAACCTCTCCTCACTTTACATGTCATACTGTTGTTTCATACTTCCATACATGAATTATTGTGTTGAGATCTGGGGAAACTCGTATAAAACCAACACAACCAGTCTACATGCTCAGAAGAATCTGAATTATAACTGCGTCTGATTACTTTCATCCAACTAATGAATTATTTCTTATATTGCATATTTTAAAATTTTATGATTTAGTAGAACTCAGAACAGCATCGATTATATACAAAGCCTATAATAAACTCCTTCCAAGGTGTATACAAAAGTGGTTCAAAATTAAAAAACTATCATTTACAAGAGAAGGATTTATTTAAAAAACCCAAAAGTTAGGATAAATATTAAAAACAATTGTACTTCAGTTAGAGAGATTCAGGTGTGGAATAGTTGTTGTAAGGAGCTACAACTGTGTTCTTGACTCTTTAAATAAAAAAATAAAAAATGTATAAAAATCATTTACTAAACAAATATAATAAGCTTTGATTGTTTTTTTTTTTCCTTTTCCTTTTGTGTGGTTTTTTTTATGAGTTTGTTTATCAATTTAGCTGGAATTCGTTGATATGTTTTAGAAAATTATATAGGAAAAATTGCTTTGATTTTGATGTATAACAAAGTGAAGGTATAAAGAGCTTGTGCTTCTGCCTACACTTTTATCGGTCTACACTTTGTGTTTTTGTGTTCTTAATTTTTTTTTTATGAAACTGGTTTGGTTCAGAATGTGCATGTAAATTTAGGGACAGGACTGGATATAACATTTTTGTTTTGTTTCCAGAACATTTTGGTGGAAATATTTACGTTTTTTACTTGTTTATGGTTTTGTTGAAATTTTTAACTGTTGGAAATAAAATAAAGAATTATTATTATTATTATTATTATTATTATTCATGCATACCTTCACACCTCTTCAAGTTCTCTTCCACCTGTTCCCTTTTCTCACCACACGAATGTCATCTGCAAACATCAGTCTACAAGGATTCCCACCTGACCTCATTTGGATGGGAGACTGTGACAAAGTGAAGATTCACTGCAATCTGCTGGTTTCCTTAGATAAATTTTACTCATTGGGTGCCTTTGAAAAGGCAGACGCCTTTTAGTATCCACCTCAGAAAAGGGTTTCTTAACTTTATATCTCTTCCGTCAATTTTAATGTGACCCGAAACGCAACATTTATAAATGTTATATCAAAATGACTGGCTCTGCACCGTGATGTGTGCTGTTACGTTTATTGGCATTTCGAGTTACCATGGCAACATAATTTGCAAACAAAGACACCATTTTTCCCCACTCCTCACTCCACACTAACTGCTGCCGTGAGGTCACATGACTAAAGGCTCCAGTATACTGCAGCGTATGTCGGTTCACGCGTACGTCCATTCACTCGTACGTACGCGTGAAAAATTTGAGCTTTGCACGGAGGGTACGCTGGGGGGTACGCACGTACCCTCTGCGTACGTACGTGCGTACCTCTGTGTACGTACATGTGTACCTCTGCATATGGATGTACGCGGCAGTATACTGGGGGCTTTAGAGTGTAGATGTCCATGAAGAAAACAGAAAACCACTGTTGGTTTGTTTAAAACTCACAGAAAGTAATCATCAGATGTATCTAAAACTGATTAACGTTTAGAGCCATTTTGATTCAAGATGGCTGCCACAGCTACTTCAGCAAACACAAAATTGACTGTTACTCAGTCTTTCTTTGAGATATTGAGCTGAAATTTAGTATGGTTATAGGTGAGAGCGAGCTGTTATACACTCTTAATGCAAATCAAATATCCAAGATGGCCACCTTAGCTAAAAGGAAAAAAACATGATAACTCAGCCATTTCCAGAGCTATTCAGCTGAAATTTGGCTTATTGGTAGCTGAGAACAATTCCTAATAGACTCTGACTGAAAAGCAAAAATCCACGATGGCCGCCTCAGCCAAAAAAGAAAAATATAGACTAGTTTCAGTGATATGGAGCTGAAATTTGGTGGGATGACAGCTGAGAACGTTTTCCATCAAATGCTGCATCAAAATCAAAAATCCAAGATGGCCACCAAAGCTACATTTAAATGGCTATAACTCAGCCATTTTAGCTGAAATTTAGTGTAGCTATAGCCGAGAACGTTCCCTATCACATACTGAATCCAAATCAAAAATTCAAGATGGCCACCTTAGCTAAAAAGGAAAAAAAAAAAGATAACTCAGCCATTTTTAGAGCTATTGAGCTAGTGGTAGCTGAGAGCAAACCCAAACACGTGTCAAATCAGATTTTTTAATTGGCAGCAGCCTGGTAGTCCCTGTTAAAGTGTCTCCTAAACTTTCTAGTTGGCTTTTATAATGGATGTGAATTTTTCTGTTCAGTGTCCTGAGATAACTTCTGTTGTGACTTGGCGCTTTGTAAGTAAACTGAATTGAATGTAGGTGTGAAGTTACAAAACAGACAATTTAGAAAAAGTACTTGTTACAATGGAAAATAAAATCTCCCACTGCATCAGTTCTGATTCAGTGTTTTAGACCAACAACAATATAATTTTTATTGGCTTACCATGTTGAGGAGGAAACGGGAATGAATGCAGACCAGGAGTGAAGGGTTTCTAAAATAATAATAATAAATAAATAAAAAAACAAGAAGATAAAGAAGTGTTTGTTAGTTTCCAATGATTGTAAACATTTTAAATTGAAATTCTTAACTTGTTATCTTACAAAACTCATACACCATGTCAATTTAGCAAAAAAGTTTGTGATTCAGAGTTTTCCAATGAAATAATGTTTTATGTGTTTGGCCATAAGACAGAACATTAGTACCGTCTATCTTCATTCATCTCATTTCACGACTGACAGTCTTCTTCCCTTTTCTTTCAACATCTGCTCTTTTCTTTCCTCATTGTACTTCACACATTAGCTTGACACAGACTGCACTCTATGGCTTGGCTTGTCACGACTGCACTGAGGTCATTTCCATTTAGCAGTTCCATGGAAAATTATTTAGACGAGCTGCTCAGAGAACAGCAACAACAAGGACTCCAAAGCACTGTCTGCTCCAAATACACACCCAGTTACCAAACCCATCCATCCATCATCCATCCATCCATCCATCCATCCAGGTGCCTCCGTCTCTGTATTCCAAATTCATTTCATGATGCAGTATTATTTTTCTAATTTATCCATGTTTTGGTCCAATCAAATAAATGTACAAAAGTCTCAAATTTTTATTTAGAAAAACTGTATCACGTACCACAGGACTGACAGGGCGTTTAAAGATCTTCCTGACGACTTTCTCTACAAAGACGAGAAAAATCAAAAATTTAGTCGGTGAAAATCACAGAAAGTAAAGCAACTAGATTAAACTTTATTTCAAACACAAATTACCATTTGACACACTAATTCTTGCCACATGATCTTTGAAATATTGGCCACCATCTCTCAAAACATATTTGCAGTCAAACGAAAGTTCATATTTTTTCTATGATTAAAAATATTTTACAGATTTTTGGACAAGATAGCAAAACCACAAAGATATATTTGTCCATAAAGAAGTGCATTTCACTAATAAAGGGTAACAAATTGCTCAAAATATGCAAGCTTAGGTCCGTTCAATGAAACCATCTGAAGTGTTTTCCTTCTGCAGGTTCCTGTGTGCTGGGTGGTGAAAACGAGCAGCAGCTGTGGTCCATTTCCTCTGATGAGCTTAAGGGGGTAAGAGGCTATGGAAGTGTTCCTTTCCTTGCTGGGACATTAGATACCAATCTGTATTGTAGTCAGCCTCCTGGTGTTTTCATGAATAAAGAATTATACTTACCTGTTTCCTTCTGTGTTTCCTAGAACCTGCCTCCCTTTGACCAAATCCTGGATTGTTTGATTCTCCTTCGTCCCCCAAGACAAGCCTCACTCTGAACTCCTGTGATCTCTTACCTTGGCCTCAGACCATCTTGCTGCTCCTCAGCCACTTTATTTGGGCTTTGCCTGCCTGCAATCCTCTACAGCAGGGGTCTGCAAACTGCGGTTCTAGAGCCACGTGCGGCTCTTTGGTTCCTCAACAGCGGCTCTTTCAAGCTTTGACTAAAAGTAACATAAAACTGAAGTTTATTGGTTGTTATACAAACAACGACAAAAAGTACTAGTTTTAGCTGTTTTCATGTCATTTCTTTGGCAAATACTCACTTTAGCTTTTTGCTTTATTTCTATACTTAATTATTTTTCCACAATAAAAAATAATACATAGGTCTGCACAGCTCATAATTAGTATTGTTTTTTAATTTAAAAAACTTTCCCACCTCTTTACAAGAATCTGGTCTTTTCATTAGTCTTAAACTGTAATAATATCAATACATGTAAAAACCATTAGATATTTTTAGCTTTATATTTTCACCCCTACTGGCCACAAAAGTCTCCTCCAACAAACTTAAAGTGGCCCATGGGCCACCAGTTGATAACAGTTGTAGCAGGTTGTTGTGGCTCTGGACACATTGAATTTAGTGCATGAAGGTGTAAAAATGGCTCTTTTGATGATAAAGGTTGCAGACCCCTGCTTTACAGTAACATCCTCTATCATCTCAACTTATCCACCTCCTCTTACCATACGTACCTAAGATCCTCTACCCAGATGCCCGAGCCACCTCAACTGGCTCCTCTCAACGTGGAGAAGCAGCGGCTCTACTCTGAGTCCCTCCCAGATGATGGAGCTTCTCACCCTATCTCTAAGGGAGAGCCCAGACACCCTGCGGAGAAAACTCATTTCGGCCGCTTGTATCCGAGATCTTGTTCTTTCGGTCACAACCCAAAGCTCGTGACCATAGATGAGGGTAGAAATGTAGATTGATCGGTAAATTGAGAGCTTCGCTTTTTGACTCAGCTCTCTCTTCACAACGACAGACCGATACAGCGCCTGCTTCACTACAGACGCTTCACCTATCCGCCTATCGATCTCACGCTCCATTTTTCCCTCATTCGTGAACAATACCCCAAGATACTTGAACTCCTCCACTTGGGGCAGGACCTCCTCCCCGACCTGGAGAGGGCACTTTACCCTTTTCCGGCTCAAGACCATGGCCTCGGATTTGGAGGAACTGATCCTCATCCCGGCCGTGTCACACTCGGCTGCAAACTGCTCCAGCGAAAGCTGTAGATCACGACCTGATGAAGCCAGTAGGACCACATCATCTGCAAAAAACAGAGAAGCAATCCTAAGGCCACCAAAACAGATCCCCTCAACACCTTGGCTGCGCCTAAAAATTCTGTCCATAAAAGTTATGAACAGAATCAGTTGCAAAGGGCAACCTTGGCGGAGTCCAACTCTCACTGGGAACAAGCCCGACTTACTACCGGCAATGCAGACCAGGCTCTGACACCGGTCATACAGGGACCTAACAGCCCGTATCAAAGGGCCTGGTACCCCATACTCCCGGAGTACCCCCCACAGGGCTCCCCACAGGGCTCCCCACAGGGCTCCCCGAGGGACGCGGTCGAACGCCTTCTCCAAGTCCATTATCGTTTTTAAAATTTTGTCAATTTTATCCGAGATAAAAGTTTACCAGACATACTGAAAATATATAATTTTTGCACCTTAAAAGTGATTCCCAAAGCGCTATTAAACAAAAACATGTCTTATCAATGCATGGTGCACAATTCCATCCATTTATTGAGTTTAGGGGCCTTTTTAATTTTTTTTATTATTATTGTTAAATTATTTATAGGTCCATTTGAAATGGGTCGATGAAGAAAAATGCAACACTTCAATGGACAAAGAAAAACTTGAAGAAATCCTTAGTAAACCTGGACTATTACTTACAAATACTTTAAGAAGAGAAGAAAGTCTAGCTCTTCAGAAAAATAAAGAACAGACTGGTGGTTGAAGACTTTATGAGCAGCGCAGATAAATCAAACGTACTCTGCAGGACTGGTGAGCTGATGTTATGAACTACCGGCTTGCTCCACGTTCCGGTGCCGCCTTTAGAGTTAGGCTGGACTCCAAATTCATAGACCGTGTTTGGCTTCAGATTGTCAATGATCGTGTCACTTGTTGGGCAGGTCTGGTAGTTCCACTTCCTGTTCTTCTCACGGTACCGAACTGTGTAGTGTCTGAGCCCAATACAGAGCAGAACAGAAACAAATGTATGTTAAAAAAAAAATGGATATTTGAAATGGTAACCAGAAACAGTAAAAGGCACTGCAATAAAGGCAAAATGTAAAAAAGGCACTGTGTCAGTGTTTTAGTCAATACAAAAAATATAAATCTGTAAGCTCACCCATCTTCTAAACAATCATTCATAATATTTCCTTCATAGGGGGTTTTCAGCAGTGTTCCCCAGGACAGGAGGACTGATGAGGGCGTCACCGACCCAATGACAAGATGCAGCGGCTTCTCCAGTTGTACTTTACCTGAAAAGAACAAAACAACATTTGCTTTGGCTTTTAGTGTTCTCAGATTTTCCGTCTATTTTCTGTTCCCGCCTGTTCAGGGTTGTGGGAGGATGTGGCCTTTCTCCCTCAAAACCTGCAAGCAGGGTACATTTTGCAGGTTCCAAATCCATTGCAGGGACACAGAGAGACAAACATGCACACCAATGCTAAGGTCTAATTAGAATTTCAAATAAGCCTGACATGGATGTTTTTCAACAGTAGGAAGAAATAAGAGTACCTGGAGAAAACGTCTGTGGATGAGGAGATGAGAACATGCAAACCCCACATAGAAAGACCCCCAACCAAGTTTCAAATCCATGAAACTTCTTCCAGTGATACAACTGTTCTAACACCTTAAAATTACTTTTACTTTGTTGGTGATGATTACTTATGAGACCTACCTTTACATTGCTTTTTCACATCATTAGTAAGAATAGGCTGGACAGCTATAAGGTACTTGGGCTCAGCATCTGAAAACAGACGTACAAAAAGTTGAGTGTCAATGGTCCATGCTATATAAAATGCATTGAAACTTTTATTTTTGAATGACTTACCAAACTCTGTCTCATAAGGCAGTCCGTTGTCAGGCAGCTGAATGAACTGTTTGGAGAACATGCTGCTGCCGTAGCCCAGGATGTAGCCCTCCAGCTTAGTGTCTGTGTCAGGTCGTAGAAACTTCATCACTATGGTGTCTCCTTTGGTACTGATACGAACCTTCATGTTCTGACGTCTCACTGGGAAACAAGATATACACCAAAAATGCATTTAATATAACACATTCTGTTATACACCTGCAATTATGAGAATGTTTCATAATGACGGGAAAAAGAGGGCAAAAAAAATTATGATAAGGCAAAAAGGTGAATCTTTACCATTTTTATAACAAAAACAACTTCAGAATCTCTGCCAGTATAAAAGAATACCAATTTACAGAATACTAATTCATTCTGAGTGAGGACAAGCAACAGAGCATTGTCCAAAATCAATTGACACAAAGTCACAAATCCTCTGGCTTTCACTGAAAAAAATTAATCACAGACAGGTTTGTCTGAAGTCAGGATGAAAAGTTAAATGTGAGGCAAAAAGGGAAAGAAATACAAATTCATTGGCACAGAAACAAAAACAATAAAAACTTTTTTGCAGCACATTACGTGAATCTTGCTAATGAAAACAAAAAAGGTTAAATCGTGTCATCTGGATCAGTTTCTTTAAGTGAGAAACGTTTTGTCCCCCATCCAGAGGACTTTGTTAATCTGTGACCCGCCAACCAGATCTGTCTTATAAGTAGTCTTCACTGCAGTGTTTCAAGTCAACCTCCTGTTGGAATCTCAAAAGTAGCCTTTAAACACGTGCAAAACACACCCATCCAAAACAATCAATCATTAAGTACAGTAATCATATGTTTTAGGCCAGATGGCCAACTTGCCAATCAGAAACAGCCTGAAGACAACCAAGGTCAAAGTGGTTCACAAAATGTAAGCTCAATCATCCAGGTAGATAATAATGAAAAGGTTCAATTGTGTCATCTGGATCAGTTTCTTTAAGTGAGAAATGTTTCGTCACCTATCCATAGGTTGCAGTTGGTAGAGTTGTTGTCTCTTAATGAGAAGGTTGCTGGAACGGATCCCCCCGGGGCCTTTCTAGGTGGAGTTTGCATGTTCTCTCCGTGCATGCATAGGTTTTCTCTGGTTACTACAGTTTCCTCCCAGCGACCAAAAACATGCATGTTAGGCTGATTGGTAACTCTAAATTGTCCTTAAGTGTGAGTGAGAAAGACAATTTTTTTTTTTTTTTTTTTTTTGTATCTACGTGTCCCTGTGATGGATTTGGACGTGTCCAGGGTGTCACCTGCCTCTCGCACAGTGACTGCTGGTCATGGGCACTGGTGACCCCCGTGACCCAAAAAAGAAGAAGCAGGTAAAGCTGGATAAATGGATGGATGAATTCTTTGTTTACATATCAATTTTCGACATCCATCCATTATCTTCTACTTGTTCCGAAGTCAGGTCACAGGGGCAGCAGTTTGAGCAGGGAGGTCCAGCCATCTCTTTTCACAACCACTTCTTCTAGCTCTTCTGGGAGGACCCCAAAGCATTCCCAGATGAACCGAGAGACATAGTCTCTCCAGCATGTCCTCGGTCTTCCCTGGGGTCTCCTCCCAGTCGGACATCCCCAAAGCACCTCCCTAGGAAGGCGCCCAAGGGGCATCTTTACCAGATGCCCAAACCACCTCAAATGGCTCCTCTCAACTCTGACTCTCTGACTCTGACTCAATGTGGAGGAGCAGTGGTTCTACTCTGAGTCTCTCCCAGATAACTGAACTTCTCACCCTACCTCTAAGAGAGAGTCCAGCTACACTGCGGAAGAAACTCATTTCAACCGCCTGTGTCTGCAATCTCATTCTTTTGGTCACTACCCAGAGCTCGTGACCACAGGTGAGGGTAGGAACGTAGATCCACCGGTAAATAGAGAGCTTTGTCTTACAGCTCAGCTCCCTCTTCACCACAATGGAATGGTACAGAGTTCGCAATACTGCAGATGCTGCACCAATCCATCTGTCAATCTCATGCTCCATTCTTCCCTCACTTGTGAACAAAACCCCGAGATACTTGAACTCCTCCACTTAAGGCAGAACCTCAACCTGAAGAGAGCTATTCACCCTTTTCTGATTGAAGACCATGGCCTTAGATTTGGAGGTGCTGATTCTCATCCCAGCTGCTTCACACTCGGCTGCAAACCGCTCCAGTGAGCGTTGAAGATTATGGCACGATGACGCTAACAGGACCACATCATCTGCAAAGAGCAGAGATAGAATTCTGAGGCCACCGAACCGGAATCCCTCCGCCCCCTGACTGCACCGAGAAATTATGTCCATAAAAGTTATGAACATAATTGGTGACAATGGGCAGCCCTGGCGGAGTCCAACTCCCACCCTGAAGGGGTCTGACTTACTACCGGCAATGCAAATCAAACTCTCGCACCGCTTGTATATGAACTGAACAGCCCGTGACAATGGGACCCCATTCCCATACTCAAGGAGCTTCCCCCAAAGTGTATCATGAAGAACACAGTCGAATGCCTTGTCCAAGTCCACAAAACACATGTAGACTGGATGGTCAAACTCCCATGACCCCTCGAGGACCCTAGTGAAGGTAAAGAGATGGTCTAGTGTTCCATGGCCAGGACAAAATCTGCATTTTTCCTACTGGATCTGAGATTTGACCAGGTTTGACTCTCTTTTCCAGTACCCATGAATAGACCTTACCAGGGAGGCTAAGGAGAGTGGCACCCCTATAATTGGAGCACATCTTCCGGTCCCCCTTTTTGAAGAGGGGAACCCTCACTACATGTTTGGGTCTACTGGGTCTGTCCGGCATCTTCCCCTGCCATCTGAACCAACTCACTACCAGGTAGTGATCAGTTGATAGCTCAGCTCATCACTTCACCCATGTGTCCTAAACAAACAGACACAAATCAGATGACATGACTACAACCTCAATCACTGATCTACAAACTAGGGTGTCCTGGTGCCAAGTGCACCAAGTAAATGTTAGATAGTTAACTAATATTCACATTGCTACACTTGTTTACATTTGATAGAAAATGAAGTATTGAATCATTTACAAAGAAAGTAAAATTGTGAACCTTTAAAACAATGTAATATGTGTGTCAGTAACAGATATACATGCCTATGTGAGTTTTAGACATCACTTTTCCACCATATTATTCCACAATGAAAATTGAAATTGTCCTCCCAGCAAGTCTTTGTCCATACTATACCAAACATTGTTTCAAACCTATATCTCAATCAAATAAAGCATAAGCTGTATTAGAACAAACTTGGTTCACAGAGACAACACCCCATAATGAAATAAAAACCTAGAAGCTCCACTCCCAGGTAGAAAAACATGAAAATATTTATGATTGGTGGAACAGAGCTTTATTGGTTGTGTGATGGAGACTAACCAATGAATAGGCAAGTGTTTTAAACATTATGGTTGATTGTTTTTTTGTATAGCATTAGGACAAAGTTTTATTTGTGCAGTTTTTACAGAGTGTGTGCACCGAGTTAAGGTTTTGGTAAAGTTTTAAATTACACTGTTGTTAAAACTCTAACCAGGTTTTAAAGATTCACCAATCAAAAAATAACTGGTCTCCTGCATGATTAATTTTCAAGAATAGAACAAGTATAAACACAAAGACTATTCATAATTTGAAACACAAAATTATTTTTTTAACCATTTTTGCCTTCGTTATGTGGCCTGTGACCTCAGCCAGAAACAAGTCATGACATCAGTCAGGCCATTTATGAGACATGGTGATAAAGTTAAAATACCAAGACAAATGATGTTAGAGGAGTCTGAGTTATGACTGTGTTTTGGTGGCTGCACATGGAAAGCAATCACCACAAATGATGATAATTAGATTAGAAAGTGGTAGAAATGAACCAGGTTTGTTGTATTTTACACACTTCTGTCTTTTTTATTTTGCCATGAAATCACAGCTAAAAGCTAGAAAACCTGAAATTATTACCACTAATTTAAGTCCTGTAAAAAAGAGTGTTTGGCTAACTAAAGAATTGCACTCCACTCTCTTCAGTACACATCCTTGGCTCGTATTTCAGTGCTAAGCGAAATAGTGGAACTTTGCTTTAGCAATCCTGCCAAAAGCTGCAAGACGCCAAAATCGACACCGACAGTGGGAGAGAGGGAAACCCTGGATTTGAAAAATTCCCTTGTGCTTTTCCAGCTGTGTTTTCTATCAAAACTGCATTTGTTTCAGTTCTTTATATATTTCCAATAAACAACAAGAGGGACCAGCTCCAAGGGAGAGAGCCACACAGCCTATAAAGCCCCAGGAAACCTCTGGCTGCACACTTTCATGTCCAGTACAAGCAAACAACGAGTCTGTCCTGTGACAACGTGGCCCTGTTATTTGGCTCACCCACTATTTTTCATTCATTCAACCTTTATTTAGACAGGTTAATCCCATTGAGCATCAGGGACTCATTTACAAGAGAGACCTGATTTCTTAACAAAGAGTGGTGACAACAGTGGACAACAACAACAATAGACAGTCATAAAATAGGTGTAGGCATACAAATTTAAGATTTTAGAGTTCCTTGTCATTGGTCATTGAGGCAAAAGGCAGGGTACAGCCCTGAACAGGCTGGCTGTCCATTACAGAGCTCCACATAGAGAGATGAGACAGCCAGCCTGTCATACACACACCTAGACACGATTTAGAGAACCCAACTAACCCAGCATGCATCATTTTGAACAGGGAGAAAACCCACACTTGCATATGGAGAATGTACAAAGGCCATGCATACAGGTCCTAGCTGGCAATCTTCTTGTGACACGGCAACAGAACTAACCATCTGCTCCACCATGCAGCCCATGATAAGTCTCAGGAATTTTTATTTAGTGGCTGTTTTCTCTGCTCTCAGGTTTCCAACTTGAACGTAAGGATGTGAAGTGATGACTTGGCCGCCCTCACTGTGTGAAGACAAATGGGAAATGGTGTAGAAGTCACTACCTTTCATTACAATGAAGTGGAAACGAGAGGCTCGTGTCAATCGGAGTTAAGCATTCAAAGTAATTTAGATGGTGGTTTAACATCTAACCTGACATATATTGTCTAATGTAAATAGTTCAAAACCAGTTTAATTCAGTACTGACAGCATCTACTGGGACTCAGTGGGAGCCTCATTGACTACATCTTTCTCTGGAGTAATAACATCCTGGCTTCACCTGAAAGCAGAATGTTGTGTCTGGCTGTATTCTTCATATTTTAGTCCGAACACTTGGCTGCGTTCACGCAGGTTTCTCCAGTCTCTCTGTATATCACCCGCGTGTCATATTTATCTGTGAGCAACAGCTGTTTCTTCTTTTCCCTGCTTCATCTCGTCCTTCACCTCCTTCGATCAATCTTCGCTGACCTATTTATGTCACCACCATTGTTCCATCAACATGATCCTTTTTAAAACTTGCTGAAGTGCTTAAATCCATCTTACATGTCCCCTGCTTTCGTCTCATCTGCACCATTATTAGTGTAAGCATGACACGAGGCCATGTTTGGTTTGCCGAAGCTAGGCAGACCATTAGTTCTGTTGGAGATGTGTTACATTTCACAAGATACAGGAAGAAAATTCAATTAAAGCCTAAACATTTTAACTAAGCTTTTCACATACATATAAACTATTATTATATTATACAAAAAGAAACAGAACTGTGTATTTTTTTATTTCTTGATACAAGAAGAGGGGGGAAAAAAAGGTTCAGCCAGCAGGCACTACTTTCATCTACTGTGCTTACATCTTTGTACCACCTGAGCTAAAGTTACATTTGCTACCATCAAAGTCGTCAGTTTTAAACTCACAAAGTGGCCATGAAGCACAGACTGAGACATGGAAACCATTATCAGGTTTTCATGTGTGTGCGCTGACAAACTACAGTAACTGGACCCTGAGACAGTATGGAAAACGTTCATGGAAAACCTTTCTGCTTTCCAAGAACGTTGCATGAATCATAATCAGGCAGAGGAAGTTTAATACGCTGTAATCAAATTTTAAAAAGGGATGTGTTTAATGGTTTCCCGTGAGGCATTTTGTGAAAGAAAACACTGCATCAGGCGTAATTAGATTTGAGATTTCCAAGTTTATTAATCTTTCTACTATTTTTTCACCCCTTTTAAATCTCCTGAGAGTTTATGTTTCTCTTAAAAGAGTCCTGGCCAACAGCTGCTAGGATAAGCAGAAATAACATAAAGTTACACACAAAAGTAATGAAGATATCAAATGAAACATGACATGAAAGCTTAAAGGGATAGTTCAGATATTTTGAAGTGGGGTTCTGTGGAAAGGTTATGTTCATTTAACATCTTAGCTGTAGTTGATATCTCTTTAAACAGCCTCAGCTTAAAGAAATAAAGTTTAAATTCTGACCTGGTCAGAAAGTTAATGACTTTGATTGTTGCTGTCCTAAAACAACTAAAATCTTAAAATATTCATAACAGTTTGTGCAAAAGCTTCTTTAATAAATTATTACCAATGTCATTTTCACATTGAGTGGTTATTCTGGCAGAAATATAATATTCCTACTGGAAGTATGCAGGAAGTGATAGAGCTAGCTGCTGTTGCTATGTACAGTAAGAAATCATATGATTTTATGTTAACAACCACGGGAGGCAAAAACCGATGGCAGCGTTTTATTTAGATTTTATCTGTTTTTAATTGGTGTCATTCACAAAACCTTTTACAACAGGTGAGCAATTAATTGTTCATAACCGTACCACGAAACTTTGCTTCAAAAGTTCTAAACCAAGATTAGAGACAAATGTAATCACTACTGTCACTGCAGGTCAGAAAAGGCTGATAACATTGTCCATTAGACAAAATCTGATTGAATTTCTTTACATTTTGCCGAATTTCATTAAAATAGAGAGTAGCTCATCAACACTCAGATAAATTTGCAGCTAAATCCAATCACAAAATAAGAAGGAAAAAACTAAATGTTCTAATTCTTCACATCATCTTCACAGTGAAAGCATTTTCAGGAAACACGTCCCATCAGATTGTCCTCCAACCTTTAACCTTTGACCCATAAACTGGAAACAGTTGCATTCAAATGTTTCTGCAGTCCGTGGCTTATTTCATTCTATCTGCTCAGAGCATCATGACGTCTTATCATCAATCTCCAGCTCTTACTGGCGTGATTCACAGCTAAGTGTGAAGCTGTTGGGATGAGGTCATGGGTTTCAGTTGGAAAAGGGTAGACTGTCCTCTCCTGGCTGGGGGTGAGATGCTGCCTCAAGTGGAGGAGTTCAAGTATCAGGGTTTTGTTCACAAGGGAGGGAAGAATGGAGTATGAGATTGACAGATGCATCGGTGCAGCTTTTGCAGTATTGTGTACTCTGTGCTGGTCCGTTGTGGTGAAGAGGGAGGGCTGAGCTGCAGGGCAAAGCTCTCCATTCACAGTCTGGTTTACATTTCTGTCCTCACCTATGGTCACAAACTCTGGATAGTGACCAAAAGAGTGTGGATACAAACGATTGAAATTGTTTTTTTTCTGTCAGGTAGCTGAACTTTCCAGATAGCGTGAGTGAAGTTTAGTCAACTGGTAAAGATGCCCCCAGGATGCCTCCTTAGAGAGGTTTTCCAGGCAGGTCCCACCGGGAAGAGACCATGGGGAAGACCCAGCACACGCTGGAGTTTCAGTGTCTTTTGGTTGGCCTGGGAATCTCCCCAGCAGAGCTGGTAAAGGTGGCTGTGTAAAAAGAAATTTGGACCTCACTGTTCAAGTTGCTGCCCCTGTGACTCCGGAACAAGCCAAAGATGATGAATGGATGGATGCTCCCAGCGTTACAGGGACAGCTCAATAAATCACAGTCACAGATATAAAATAATAATAATAATAACACACATTTTTTAAGGTTACTAAAACTTTTTGGTTCAGCCAAAACTCTTCTTTAGGGGTTGGGATTCACCGCCATTTAATAAAACCAGAAGAACATATCAAATCCATTTGATCCTATTTATTATTATTGTTGTTGTTTTTATATTAATACTATGGGTGCTCTCTTCCTCAGGTGTCGGCCACATCGAGTGAAATCGCACAAAGACCTGGCAATTGTTTTTAATCCAGATGTTCTTCGTGACGCAGCCACCATAGCCCACATGTGGAGCAAAGAGCAGCCAGCTAAGGTGCCCAACAGCAGCTGGGGGGTTAAGGGCCTTGCTCAAGGGCCCACAGTACAGGGCAAATGAGGGTGGAGGCAAGTAGGAGTGCTTCACCTTTCCTGCTAAATTTTTGTCGTAATGGTCCAGTAATTAAAACCTGCGACTTCCTGATCACAGGCTCGTCTTCTCTAACCTCTGAGCCACCACTCCCTCCATTTGAATACATTTAAATGTAGAAAAATTAACCATATAAAAAGCTGTTATTTTTTAGTTTACATAGTTTGTTTATTGATCTTTAACAAAAATTGAATATTAGAATTTTGACCCCATGAATTAGATTAGTCATCATTCATCGTTGCAATAATTGGGTTTATCAATGTAATTATCTTAGTCTTCCTAAACAATAACCTGTGGGGTATCACACATCTTGCCTTACAAAAAGAGAAAACAATCAATAGACTGAAGTGTGCATCAAATGCATCCCTTTCTGTCCACTAGTGTTATCTGATGTCTCGATGAATTAATGCAGGTATCACTCACCTCTGCTCCTCTGGGACGTTGAAGGAAGAGCCAAGACTGTCCCAGCGATGAAAGCCACGAGGAGAAGGATCAGAAAGGTGCTTGAGTGCGGCTTCATTATGACCACTCAGGTGTAAAGACCAGCTGTGAACTCCAACGAGGAGTCAGAAAGGCCGAGATGCTGCTGATGTCTTTGGATGAGAGACTTTTGTGCTGCAGCTGCAGGAATCAGGATGAATGACTCGTGAGTGGCTGGGTGGTCCTCAGGACGAGTCCAGCTCTGTGGATGCTGCAAGCTGCTCCTGCACCATCTATAACTGTGTAAGAGAGGGAGGAGACACACCAACCAAAACACACCCACTCCTTATGCTCCCATATGTCCTTTTTCTCACTCTCTTTCTCCATCTGAAACAGTTTTTGTAGGAAAGAAAGAATGAAGGAAAGCTTTTGCCAAGTTTTATGCCTGTCTTTTTTTCCACCATTTTATTTTGCTCATTGTGTTGGTATGGCTATAATTTGTGACATCTATTAGACTTTCTTTTTTCTACTCTAAAATCTGTCTGTTTTAAAGCATGCAACAGCACAGTAGGAGCTCTTTTATAATATTTCAAAATCTCGCCTTTAGCTATTCAATCTGGTGACGCCCGTCCTGGTGCTGTTGGGTCTCAGCCTTCAGTGCAGTAAATCATTATACAGTAGTCCCTCACTACTTCACGGTTCGTTTATCACAGACTTGCTCTATAGAGGTTTTACAAAATAAGATTAGACATGACACACAGTTGGCTGATTGATGGATGAGCTGCATGATAGGCATGGATTTTTTATTGAAAAAAATATATATTTAGCACCTGCTGCACATTTGTGCAGCCCAGAGCTGTAGAAAAAGCTGCTCCTGCATCGTTGTGCAGCCCAAACTGCAGGATAAGCTTCCTGCTGCAGCTGATCAGCTGTTCTGCAGAGCTGAGAAGTGGGTGTGGCCAAGAGCACTTGCAGGTGGCAAAGAGCAAAGGAGGCAGAGAGCTGAAATCATGACATTCTGTGCTCTTTTAGAGCGTTTAGAATTTAGAAACTTTGTTTAGAATATTGCAAGAGTGTGGGAAGGGTTTAAAACACCTATATATATATATATATATATATA